CAGGAGCCTGCCAGCAATACTGGCGATCCTACACACCTTCCTTAGGAGGCATGCGCCTCCATGACACTGCCCGGTTTTGTCAATTTTCATTCGGACAAGTCGGAGGGTCTGACCTCCAGGACGCAGCCCGGCGGCAATGCCGGCGGTCCTGCACATTCTCATATCCTAGCGTGTGGCATGTGTCCGTAGGACATGGCCTGGCGCCAATGCCAGCGGAGAAGCATTCCAGTCGGAGGTTCTGCCCTCCAGGACACAGCCCGGCGGAAAGGCCGGCGGTCCTGCACAATCACCGTTACCCATCTTGCAAGGAAGGCGGTCAATACCTCGAGGTCGTTCACCTCGAGATCTTTACTTCGTTGTCTGAAGGCACGCGCGGGCATATGCTACGCTTGGCTCCTCGTGCGCAGGCGAAGGCCAACGGCAGTGCCAGATCTCGCGCATCCACAGATTATGCACGCACGTCGCGAGGCATTCGCCTCAAGGACACAGCCCGGCGGCAAAGCCGGCGGTCCTGCGCAATCTAACTCTCTCCGCTAACCATGGCCTCGTCTTAGACGGTGGCCAACGGCCGTGCCAGCTGTCGCGCACCGCGGATGCTGCGCACATGTCGCGAGGCCTTCGCCTCAAGGACACAGCCCGGCGGCAAGGCCGGCAGTCCTGCTCAATATCTTTTCGTCTGGCTACCATGGTTGTCTCCTATTAACGTCATTGCCAGTTTTCGTGCAATCGCAGATGATGCAGTATGTCGCGAGGCATTCGCCTCAAGGACACTGCCCGGCGGCAAGGCAGGCAGTCCTGCACAGTCTCACTCTTTGTGGTTACCATGGCTTGTCTCCTATTCGTCAATGGCAGAGTCAGGGCCAGCTTTCGTGCGTCCACAGATTATGAACGCACGTCGCGAGGCATTCGCCTCAAGGACACAGCCCGGCGTCAAGGCCGGCAGTCCTGCACATTTGCACTCTGCTGCCATGGTTCCTCCTATCAGACGTCGACCAGTTTCAGTTTCAGCTTACGTGCATCCACAGTTTATCTAAGCATGTCGCGAGGCATTCGCCTCAAGGACACAGCCCGGCGGCAACGCCGGCAGTCCTGCATAACCCCATGTTGTCCGGCTTGCATGGCTGACTCCTACCAACGTCATTGCCAGTTTTCGTGCAATCGCAGATAATGCAAGTATGTCGCGAGGCAGTGGCCTCAAGGACACATCCCGGCGGCAAGGCCGGCAGTCCTGCACAGTCTCACGCTTTGCGGCTACCATGGGTTGTCTTCTAGTCGACGATGGCCAGTGTCAAGGCCAGCTTTCGTGCGTCTACAGATTATGAACGCACGTCGCGAGGCATTCGCCTCAAGGACACAGCCTGGCGGCAAGGCCGGCAGTCCTGCACAATCGCACTCTGCTACCATGGTTATCTCCTATCAGAGGTTGGCCAGCTTCATTTGCAGCTTTCGTGCATCCACAGTGTAACTTTGCAAGCATGTCGCGAGGCATTGCCTCAAGGACACAGTCTGGCGGCAAGGCCGACAGTCCTGCATAATATCATTCTGTCCGGCTAACATTGCTTATCTCCTGTTAGACGCTGGCCAGCGCCCGGGCCAGCTTTCGTGCATTCACAGATTACGCTCACGCCACGGGCTGGCAAGGGGATCCCCTAGACGCCAGGCCCACGGCGATAACACCCTTCGTGCTGCGCGGGCCTCGCGGCCCGCTCTTGCACGCGCCACTCTTGCCTTCACCTCCAAACTTCTCCTCTCTCCTCCTTCCTCCCCTCATCGCCCTTGGAGGATGCGGAGGATTCTCACACGTTTCGTGCGTCCAGCGCGCTGAGGCGCGTCAGTCGCGAGCGGGAGAAAGCAGACGTATCCTGCCGGGATACACTGTGGCTGGCGGCTCTGTGGCGCATTCCCCCCCACCGCGGTCCGATGCACCAGAGCGGTGCCCAATGAAGATAACCGCGCCCAGGAGTGAGGGGGCGAGGATTTTGGCAGTGCTCAAACGCTGGTATTGCAGCAGCAGTGGTTAGATAAACCAGTGGTGCAAGCTATCGTGCCCGCCGCCGACTTGGCAAGATAATCGCTTATCTCAAGCTGTATTGCAGCAGCAGTGTTTAGGAAATCCAGTGGTGCAGGCATAGTGTCCGAAGCTGCATTGGCACGGAGAAGGAAGCGGCACCGCGTGCTCACGTCGGAGGGTCGGGCCTCCAGGACACAGCCCGGCGACAATGCCGGCGGTCCTGCACAATTGTCTTCATGGGGCATGCTCACTAAGCCCTGTTAGTCTTACAAGGGTCCGCATTATGCTAGTGGGGCCCTTCAGTCGTATAAACTCATTGCTTGAGCCACGCCTGAGCCAAGCTTGAGCAGCATCCCCCACCCCCAGTCCGAGGCGGGTGGTTGGATTAATCGATGTCTTTATCGTTACTCGGCTCGCAGGAGGTGCCACCGCTGCGCCCCTCGGCCCCGTCTCGGGAAGGCCTCTTGGGGAACCCCGAGGTGAGACGGTGTAAGGTCCCACGCTGCCCAGCACGCCGAGGCGATGATGCGGGGCACAGGGAAACGGACAACTGAGGACCCCCCCAGGGAAACGGACAACTGGGGAACCGACTCGTCCTCAATGACTCGCCAAGCTCATCGTCCCCGAAACCCGAAGGGGTTTTGAAGGTCGGAGATGCCCCTCGCCGTGAGCCTTCTGGGGGTCGCACCCGATACGAAACTCTCGAAGTTCGTATCCTCCCAGTCTTGGGCAGAGGGCCTACGTGAGGCGCGCCGGCCTCAGCAGGTATGGTCCCAGGATGCGTTCTGGGCCAGCTTGTTCACTCCGCCGCATCGTCCATGCCAGCAGGAGGTGAGGAAAACATCGCCTCTCAGATGGTTATGCGGCCGCGGGTCGAATCGTATTCTTCGGCGCGCGATCCCCTTGCCTGCCGTCGCGTCGCGTTGTGTAACCGTAGGGGTACGCAGCTCAGAGGTGGCGTGAGGACACGTTGGCCACATATTATCTCAGCCACCTACTCCCTTGTTGCACCCTGCCGCACGCGCACGCACTGGCATACAGCGCTGTTTACTCTGAGTCTCATTACCTTGGCGTCTTCACTCCGCCGCATCGTCCATGCCGGCAGGAGGTGAGGTAACCATTGCCTCTCAGCTTGCCGTCGCGTCGCGTCGTGTAACCGTTGGGGTACGCAGCACAATGGTGGCGTGGGTTGACGTTGTCCACTTATTATATCAGCCACCTACTCCCTTGTTGCATCCCGCCGCACGCGCACGCACTGGCATTCAGCGCTGTATACTCTGAGCCTCATTACCTTGGCGGCCTCGCTCCGCCGCATCGTCCATGCAGTCAGGAGGTGTGGAATCCATCACCCCTCATTCACACTCACCTCCAGCGTGTGCTGATACGCTCCGATTGCTCTGGCGCACAAGCCGAGTAAGGACGAGCCACGGTCTTCACAACGGAGGTTGCCGATGAAAGGTATGCTACCTCTCATACCGTGTGCCTACCACGGTCCTTGTACCTGGGGGCACGGTAACAAGGGTGGGTGAGCCCCAGGGCCCCATCCGTCCTCACAGGGTTATGCCTACCCTCAAGGGCATCAACAATACACTACAGTCCTCCTCCCCCTCTGCCTCCCCCTTCCCCTCTCGCGCCTGCTCCTCCTGCTCCTCCTGCTCCTCCTCCTCCTCCTCCTCCTCCTCCTCCTCCTCCTCCTCCTCCTCCTCCTCCTCCTCCTCCTCCTCCTCCTCTCTGGGCGCAAATCAGATCGGTGGGCGTCAGGGCACGCACCCGGCACCAGTCGTGGCAACCCTGGGCTTGCCTTCTGAGCCCATGCGACGTGGGAGCCCCTCCGGCTGCCGAGCTGTCTCGTGCTCGACCCCCGCTCGGCTGCCGAGCGGGCCGAGTCGCCTCTCGGAGTTGAGCACGGTCGGCTGCCTGCTCGGCGCCGACGCATCGTGGGGCCAGGATCGAGGCTTGCGCCCTCTTGGCTTGGCCAAGAGGGCCTGCTGGAATGGACAGCCAGGTGGGCATGCGTGAGCATGGGCATCCCAGAGGTCCCGACGAGTCTCCTGGGGTCGGCGCCGTCCTTCCCAGCGCCAGCCCACGAAATCCGCGCGGACCGCCGCAAGCTTACGCACGCCTATCCCGCTTCGATCCTGTGCCAACCTGGCGCATGTTGCATCGTAGGGGGGCCTTGTCTCCCATCGCGTCACCACTCCCGCCAGATCCGCGTCGAATCCAGATGGGATCCACATGGACTCCGTGCCGAGCTCGCGTCGAATACCTTCGCGACTTCCCGAACGCAATGGACAGAAAGCTACGGGACGATTCCAGAAACCATGGAACGCCCTCGGCGTGGCGCAGCTGCCAGAGAGCACCCCGAGGCTGGAAAATCACCGAGAACTGCCAAAACGCCCGAAAACCTGGAACCTCGAACCCGAAACTGTCACCCTGAGACTATCCCCCCTAACGCACCTCTGATTGATTTAAATTTCTGAAGGCCAAATTTGGCCTGCGTGCGTCAGGCGAGCGTGTGGGATCGTTGAGCGTACCTAAGAAGTGCACGCTGGCATCCCAGGAGTGCCTTTGAGCATGCCTTCAACGAGTTCAGAGTGGTCGTCTGGGGTGTGGTCGCTGTGGGGATGGTCGTCCTGGGCATACCTGAGCGAGCTTAGAATAGTGGCGCCTTCCGAAAAAATCCAGGGGGCCCAACCCAACGTGGCCCCTGAATTTGGAGTGCCCCAGCGGTGCGGTGACGGACCGTGCGGTAACCTCGAAATCCCCCAAAACCTCACCGCACGGTCCGTCACCGCACGGTTTTGGGACCCTGAAGGCCCCCGTCGCCCGAGACGTCCTCGGAGAAGGACTCGAGTCCCAAAACCGTGCGGTGACCCGGAATCGCCACCGACTCACCGCACGGTGTGGTCACCACACCGTTTGGGGGCCCTCGACTAAAACTTAACCTAGCCAGGAACGGGGCGGGTGCGCAGTGGGGCGACCCTCGGGCCTGGCACTCGCAGGCCGCGAGCGCCACAGCGGCCTGCCGCGAGTCGCAGCATGGCGCGCGAGGGGGGGCGGGGAAGCACGACAGGGCGAGCTCCGCCATGGCTCTCGCGCACGGGAGGAGGAGGAGGAGGAGGAGGAGGAGGAGGAGGACGAGGAGGAGGAGGAGGAGGAGGAGGAAGAGGAGGAGGAGGAGGAGGAGGAGGAGGAGAGGAGGAGGAGGAGGAGGAGGAGGATGAGGAGGAGGAGGAGGAGGAGGAGGAGGGGGAGGAGGAGGAGGAGGAGGAGGAGGAGGAAAAGGAGGACTGAGGAGATGGAGGAGTAACAATAGCCTGTGGGCGCCGCCTGCCCCCGAAGCGCCAGACTCGGCCAAAGCCTCGGCAAAACCAAACGGAAGGCTTCTGAAGTCGGTGATTGTGGGGCCAACGCGAATCCAAAGCTGACGGGTGCCTGCTGACTCGGACGCGGCGCTGTCAAGAGTCATGAGACCGACCCCACCCTCTCGGCATGGAAGACCGCGCTCTCTGACAAGCGCCCGAAGGCATCGTGCTCCAGGACTTCAACTCCCATCTCCGGACAGTTCTGACGAGGCGAGCAGGAAGACTGGCGGCAGGGCGAGCGACAGGGGCGAGACGACTCGCCCAAGAGGAGGGGCACGTGCCGCGCCGAGCGCGCGCGCGCGCGCTGCCGCGCAGCGCGCAAGGAAGCACGACAGGGCGAGCCCCGCCGTGGCCCTCTCGCGCGAGGAGGAGGAGGAGGCGGAGGAGGAGGGGGAGGAGGAGGAGGTGGAGGAGGAGGAGGAGGAGGAGGAGGAGGAGGAGGAGGAGGAGGAGGAGGAGGAGGAGGAGGGGAGGAGGAGGACGACGTAACCAATGGGGACGGTTCGTCTGCCGACCTCGACCTCTGGCCAGCGCACGAGCGTCGGCCGAGGGAGAGCGTGGGCTCCCACTGGGTGGCGCTAGGGTCTTTTTCGACCTCCCGAGGGGTAGCCTACCCCGTTGCCACTTACGCCACCAGTGGAGCCCACAGAGACAGGCGAGCAGTCCAAGTGAGCAAGTGAAGAGCGAAACACTCTCGAGACACCCCATCCACAACCATAAACTCCAGCCCCCCACCCCACAGGAGAAGAGAGCGCGGGACAGGGCAGCAGCAGGACGGGAGCAACTCACCGTACAAGTGCTTCTGCGGCTACGCGCAGCGGACTGTGAAGGATCCCCACCCCACACAAACAATATCCAAGTTCCCACCCCACCTCAACAAAGAAACGCCGGCCCCACCCATATCAGGATGAGGGCGCGTGCTTATCTTTCGAGTGCCAGCTCGGCGGCACCTCGAATGTCGATGGCCTGCTGTAAAGTCATAGTTTGCGCTCTCGGCGCTTTGTGGTACATCTGGAAAGCGAGGGCTGTCGCCTTGAGGCACTCGGCTCGACTGAGCTCGGCGCCTTCGATCTGATAATCGCTCTCCTCCCCGAGGCCAAGGAGAGTGAGCGGGCTGGCTGGAAAGTGCCTGCGTGCCCATGCAGGATGGCAGGCGCAATGGTAATACAGTCTTGGACAGCTCAAATAGTGTGCGATCGCATCTGGGGCTGTGCACCCCCAAACGCAGCTGGTTGGGGGGTGCCCGATATGGAGCCTGTGGGTGGTCGTCCACGCGCCGCACAGCGTTTTGAAAATGCTCCACTGCCAGGATGGCTTGAGGGTCGCAAGGCAAGTCTTGCATGAAGCCCACCTCCCGACCACCGACCTCAGCCCCCCAGGAATCTCCACTTGCCAAGCGAGCAGCCTCTTGCCAAGAGTGATAGGAAAGGAGTCGGGAAAGGCGGATGGGCGGAGCGTGCGTGTAAATACCCTCTGCGGATGAGGGCGATGGGCTTCCTGCTCCGCGCGCTTGGTGTGCTCTCGTGCTGCTCGAAATGCAGCTTGCCACCCAGCTGCACTAGGGAAGCGGGGAGGCGGCAGCCTTGAACGTTCTAAGAATTGGGCGATTGAAAATGGCCGCCGCCAGCACGGCGCAGAGAACTTTCCTGCAATAATGCGAACGATGGTAGCGTTGTCCTGCGCATGCTGCTTCAGGCTGGACAACGCTCTCTGCCAAACATGATTCAGCGTGCGAAACGACGTTCGCCATGCACTAGCCCAGCCGAGCAGCTGCACAGAAGACGGGGCAATGGCTAAAAACGATGGGAGCGCATTCAGATCGGCGAGGCTGAGGCTGTTGGGCGGGAGCCTGAGCAGCTTGTGCAATGCCTGGTGCTCTAGCTTACGAATCATGGCAGGGATCGGAAAGAGCTGGGCAAGATATGACAGGGTCGAGAGGGCGGTCGTGTTGTACAACAATGACAGAACAGACGGCGCAGCCCCTGAGTGTGGTAGCGCAGCTGTACGCGTCCACCACTTCTCCGCTGCTGGGGCCCAAATCATACTGAGAATTGCCTCGGGACCCATTTCGACCCCAAGATAAGTCGTGTGGCCAGCGATTTTAAAATTGGCCCATTCAGGAATCAACCGACGGATCTCGTTTCGGACCATGTCCTGGACTACAGGCGTGCACTCGGTCCACAGGGGGACCAGGACGCATTTGGCTCCTTGAAGCCTGAGGCACGCTAAACGCTCGACGTCCTGAAAGACTTTGGCCACAGGGACGAGGTCCTGAAGGCGAGGCATCACCATCCCCACGTCGTCCGCACACCCACCCAAAGACCCCTTGTGGTGCCTCGCCCTCGGGAGCTGAGTCGCAGCATGTAGGCATCTAAGGATCGGATCCATTGCCAAGGCCCACAGCGAGCCTGACAAGGGGCAGCCCTGGAGAACTCCAGAGCAAAGATGAAATAAAAAGACGATTTGATTTTGGATCCGAGCGAAGCCTCTAGGGAGGAAGTAGAGGGCACGAATGAAATGGAGGAAGCCTGTCGGGAGCCCAGTCCTACTCAGGATCTCGAACAGCCACTGATGGCCGAGGGACGGGAAGGCCGCCTCCACATCGTAGGCGGCGAAGATCGGAAGGTCCTGGGCAGCCTCTGGGTTGATGCTCGCCTTACGGGCCTCGACATCCAGCATGACGATATTCGACAGGAAGTTACGGCCTGGGATGAAGCCTTGTTGGGACTCATGGGCGCTTTGTTGGGCCACCTGACGGATCTGAAAGTTAGCAGCAGAGGCCATTATCTTAGTGTCCGTGTTCCTGAGGCTAAGAGGGCGGACCTTTGCAGGTGATCGAACACATCCTTGGGCATCTTCGGGCTCCGAGCCTTTAGGGAGAAACGCGAAGAGGCTGTCGTTAAGCTCCATGGGGACTGCGTGACCTCCAAACAGATAAGTCATGAGATTGTGTAGCACTGCTAATTGTTCTGGGCGCGCTTTCCAGGCCGTGTACGAAAGCTGGTCGGGTCCAGGGGCCGAACGTCGAGCACATCTGAGAGCACGTCCTAAATCACCTTCTGTAGGAAGTCTAAGAGGTAGAAGGGGACGCTGCGGGGCAACTCGGTCAAGATACTCCTGAAGGGGCTCCTCCTGGACTAGTTTCGCACCGAAGATGGGCTTCCAGTGGGAGGTCAGGGCGGCGGCGATCTTTTCGGGGTCCCGGGCTACTGGAGAGTGCTGAAGGCTCTCGGGCTTTATCCCCGCAAGGACGAGACGACGGGCCTTGGGGGCCCACAACGACGCTCGTCGCTTATGCATCCGCGCCGCTCGTCTCTCATCCTCAATCACCGCTCCCTCCCCCTTGGATGCTCTGCTTTCGGCAAGCCTGGCCTCCCTCTGCTGGTAGTCGAAGTTGATGGCACGCATCAGGGCGCCGAACTCTTGCCGCTCGCCGAGCTCGACGCAGCCGTTGGAGACGGCCAGGAAGCGCGCGCCGTCGGCCGTGGTGGCCATCAGCTTGTAGGCGGTGCCCACATCGTTGCGCCAGACACATCGCGAAATAGCTCGGAGCGTGATGAGGCGCCCCCCCTTGGCACGAGGGTCCTTGGCGGAGATCGGCATGCGCTGCAACTCATTGCGGACTTGGCGTGCCGCCTCAGACATGAAGTCCTTCATGCATCTCCACTGATAGACCGCTGGAAATCGATGTAGTTGTGCAGCATCAAGAAGCTGACCAAGAATTTCACCATAGCGAGGATCTCGAAATACGTGCTCAGGTATGCCCGTCTGCTCACTCTGGCGGGTTCGATCTCTAAGATGCAGGGTGATCGGTGTGTGGTCGCTGAGCCTGGAGTCCGAGATAGCGGCAGCATCAATATCCACCTCCGCGATCACCTCTACGTCGAGCAAGTAGTTCGCTGGGGTGGCAATGAAGAACCTATCCAGTGTAGCCGCCGTGGACGTATCTCTGCAGTAATGCGTGGGGCAGTCAGTGGAGATCTCCGTAACCATCGCAAAGAGTCTTTCCCAGAACGCTTGCAAAGGTTGAGTGCCTCGGGCTGTCTCAGCAGGCAGCGTTCCTGGCGAAAATGTCAGAGAAACAGGATCGGTGTAGCTACGCGTGGGACCTGATTTGACATTGAAATCTCCAGCAGCCACAAACGCTCTAGTAACAGGGCTCTCAATATTCCATTGGACCATTTCCTTCCAAGTGTGCGCAATCTTGGACTGGGCAACGATGTCCAACTCGAAGTTGTGTACGTTCATGATCTTCATCGTGAAGTTGTCAGCGGAGTTGTATATTGTGAGAAGGGCCACCCTTCCCTCGGCCAATATCTGATGGTCAAAGTGCACCTGTGGGTCCTCCTGATCACGATCTGCCAGCGGAACCAGGAATGCTGTGCCTCCCGCCTTCTGCGAGAGGTGATTGTGGAAGATCTTGTAAGGATATGGATAAGTAGCGAGGGCCGCCTGCAATTTAGGTAGTGTGCCACGGCATTCCTGCAATAAGATAACCGCTTTCTTACGCATGAACGAGACAAGCTTGTTCATCTTGGCTTTGCGGCGCCTTGAACGATAGCAAAGCAGACTCCTGGCATTCCACGATATGATGGTGCCATTGCGCATTGACGGTGATGTTGTCCAGGGCGACCACCTTCTGCTAAATAGACCACGTAGACGTATCCACGCTCGCGAATGCCTGTCCAAATGCTGCCACCAGAGGTTGTTTGTCCACCTTGAACCGCGC